CGACAGCGTACAGACAGGCCCTGAACGGCATTCACAGGGACTCAGTCACGAGTTATGTAGACTCTCGACCTGTGAATGCCGTTCTAGGCATACCACCCCCGGACACTGACGAGACAGAGCTTCATCTGCCTCGGGAGACACGCACTACACTTGCTCAACTTCGCTCCGGCTACTGCAGCAGGTTAAACTCCTACTTGAGTAGGCTGAATGAGGATGTGCCGAACGAATGTCCGGCATGCGGAGAGACCCCACATGACTCGAACCACCTTTTCGCATGCCCGGAAAACCCGACTACCCTAACGGCCCTGTCCCTGTGGACAGATCCCACAGAAGCTGCACGCTTCCTAGGGTTGCCGTTAGTGGAACTTGACGACAACGACTGAGATACCAACCGATCTGGGCGGGGTTGTTGTAGCCGCTACAACAACAACAACAACAACACTTTTGTAAGCGTTCCCACGACAGTCGGGTCTACGTAACCGGAACGACCCAGATTTATATCTGGCCAAGGACTGTCACTCCAGCAACACTCCCCAAAAAGTCTTTGGGGAATTTGTATGCTGCTACAACAACAACAACACTTTTGTAAGTACTCCAATTTACCACAAATAGACTACATGGTCCAACGGTTTTTGCAGGGCTGTACGACTTCGAAAGCTGCAACGCCTGAAAAACCTGCTATGGTTCTTTAGCTTAAGTTGTAGCCAAATCTAGCCACCAAAGGGTTCAACCGGCAACACTGGTAAGAACACACGAGGCCACAATCCACATTTTATTGTATCGTGTGCACTCCGCATGAGTATTTAGTTAGAGTCCACATTGGTTGTCAGCCACGTCATTTGTGATCCAATATTTTTTTCTTTGTTGTATTCGAGATATTCGAACAGAAACAGCTAATTCAAACAAAAATTTGCTAAATCGTGAATTTTAAACCGCGTGTGGGTTTAGTTAAATAATAAACTAAGTATCCTATAACTTGAAACAAATACAATGAATATTTTTCGCCTCGCTGGTGATTTGTCACACGTAGTGGCTATTATCATTCTTCTTCTAAAAATTTGGAAAACTCGGTCATGTGCAGGAATATCGGGAAAATCTCAAATCTTATTTGGTCTAGTTTATTTAACTCGTTATTTGGACTTGTTTACCGCATATGTCAGCCTATATAATTCCGCGATGAAAATTTTGTTCCTGTCTGCATCCAGCACCACGTTATATTTGATGTATGGCAAGTTTAGAGGAACTTATGACCACAATCATGATACCTTTCGCATTGAGTTTTTACTGATTCCTTGCGGTTTACTGTCGCTGATCATTAATCATGAATTTACTCTAATGGAAATTTTGTGGACTTTTTCAATATATTTGGAGTCTGTGGCAATCCTACCCCAGTTGTTCATGGTTAGCAAAACTGGAGAAGCGGAATCGATTACTAGTCATTATCTCTTCGCTCTAGGCTCTTATCGTGCACTTTATTTGCTGAACTGGATTCATCGTTATATTGCTGAAACTCATTATGATTTAATTGCGATTTTCGCCGGAATAGTGCAGACAATATTGTACTGCGATTTCTTTTATTTGTATATAACAAAAGTTCTAAAAGGAAAGAAACTACAATTACCGGCATAAACAATTTAATGTTTCGCTGTATAGTGAGTTTAAAAGTAGACTTATTAAGTAATTTCCGAATTATAATAAATTACCTATATTTAAGAGAGCATTTTAGATTTATACCTATTTTTTCTTGAATCATTTAAATGTAATATATAATTTAACAATGACAATTTGCATTGATAACAATACTATAGTTTAATAAAGGTTTATGTTAGACTTAGCTAACTTCTGCTACATCATTCGGAGGCGTAGTCTTTTACCAAATTTAAATCAAGAATTCAGCTATCATGAGTTACATATTTTCGGTACATTTTTCTGTAAGCGAGCGACAAGAACCTTCAACCGGGTAAAATTTCCTTTTAGCTACTTAAGCAACCCTGTTGTTGTTGTTGTTGTTGTTGTTGTAGCGGCTACAACAACCCCGCCCAGGTCGGTTGGTATCTCAGTCGTTGTCAAGTTCCACTAACGGCAGCCCTAGGAAGCGTGCAGCTTCTGCGGGGTTGGTCCACAGGGACAAGGCCGTTAGGGTTGTCGGGTTTTCCGGGCATGCGAAGAGGTGTTTCGGGTCATGTGGGGTCTCTCCGCATGCCGTACACTCATTTGGCACATCCTCATGCAATCTACTCAGGTAGGAGTTTAACCTGTTGCAGTACCCGGAGCGAAATTGTGCAAGTGTCGTTCGCGTCTCCCGAGGCAGATGAAGCTCCGTCTCGTCTGTGTCCGGGGGCGGTATGCCTAGAACGGCATTCACAGGTCTAGAGTCTACATAACTCGAGACTGACTCCCTGTGAATGCCGTTCAGGGCCAGTCGGTAAGCTGTCGGGTCCAGAGGTTGCTTGATGAACCTCTGGACTTCGTCCGTCAGTTCATATAGATGCCTCCTGACGTGCCTAGGCGAGGGCTCCTCTGCAAGCAGCTGTCTGTTTGGGTGGCCACTTCTGTGGCTCCCGACCAGGAACTGCTTGCAGAGCATGATGTTGTGCTCCTTTACGGGGAGCATTTGCGCCTCGCCGTGAAGATGGTGTTCGGGCGACATCAGGAGGCATCCTGTCGCTGTCCTGAGTGCGATGTTCTGTGCAGTCTGTAGCTTTGTCCACCGACCTAAACGGGGTTAGATCGCCGAAACAACAGCCCTTGGTGGGGTAAAACCCGAGTTATTCCGGTACGTAGAACCGGCTGTCGTGGGAATGACTTAAGCAACCCTGTTGGTAGCTGGCAAGAAACATGTGATTAGCAGGATACGAAAATAAACTACAAAACAATTCCCATTTGCTCATCGATCATCATATCATTTGTGGTTTTGTACATAGTCAGAAACAAATTGTAAGATTCACTGTCATTTTCCCCAACGAGAAACGTTTGCTTTTCGTTTGTGACAATTGTACCATAGGGCATGATAAAAACACAGCAAGGTAGAACCGTTCTCTCATTATGTCGGCCATGATTTTTTTTTTGAAGTTTCCCAGCATTTTAAAATCATATAAAATTGAAATTGTCCGAAATTGTTGTTGCTTGAGATTGAAAATGAAAATGTGTGTGTGAGTTTGTGAGTTAATTTAAAAATTTAAAATGTTTGTAAACGTCAAGAATTTTAAAAGTAACTCTCAGCCACAGTACAGTAATCCAGATAGGCAAAACAAAAAATGTAAATATGCTTATTTGACAATTTATTTGAATGTATTGGTTGATATTTTTTCACATCTGTCGTTTTCTTTAACCAAATGAAATCCATTTTCAATATTTTCTTATAGTGGCAAATATTTCCAAGTCACTTTAAATAAAACAACGAGAAAAACAAAATTCCTAGCAAATCAGGCTTGCAGCATAAGCGATTATAACCGGATGCAGTTCCTACATAAGTCATATCTGGTTCCAAACACAATTTGGAGTCAATAATGGTGGCTGATTTTGGAAAATGGACCCATAAATTAGGGAGTAAAACAAGTATTACTTAGTTTAAAGGTAGAACTCTCTAATTTAAAAATATACCACTGTTATAGTGGAGATCTCCAAAGTTTTTATGAAACATGTACCCAAAGTTATATATCGACGTTCGAACTAATGCAGGAAAGGTTTATGCAGACAAGCAAGGCCGTTTTTCAACGGTATAAAATGTATATACACATATTATTACATACATATTTATCAAAATATTCAGAATGGCGAAATGAATTGGTTCAGTCGTATCTGTTTGTAAACACGCTAACTCGAACAAAATTTAGATATTTTAACGAAAGTCGGTGCCGAAGTTGCCTTTGATATAATTTAGGATAGTATTAAATTTTGGTGAAATCTGTCTATAACCACGACCACCACCCATCAACAATATTTTTGTTTTATTATTTTTTGTTTACGAATTTCGCTGTTAAAATTTACATTTCAAATATATCAACAAACATTTGGGGGTACTTTTGCACCAGTCATTGCCTATGGGTTAATGACAAAATAATACTATACATGCACAATATTTCATGTATTAATTTTAAAATAAGCATATTGTCAATGGCTGGTTTACTGTATGCTGTGCTCTCAGCGGTTCTACCTTACTATATTTTTATCATGCCATAGGGTACGTTTTATATGTATGCAAACGTTTCAATTACGTGAAAAATATTTTTTTCTGTCAATTTTCATATCCAATTCAATTAAAAAACATGTACTACATACATACATATATTTTTCTCTGCACGATTCATTTCGTTTGTTGTTTCGTCTGTAACTACTAAACTACTGTAGTGTACTATCGCAAAGTAAACTCAGCCGTTTTGTTTTCGTATTGTACCGAACTGTTGAAGTAATAAACGAAACGAAATAGTAACGGACAATATAGTTTATTTTCGTACACTGGTGATTAGTTTAACGGAATTTAGGTACAAAAACCGGCATAAATGCAGTTGGGCTCCAAATCTCAAATTAAAAAAAATATTGGAATCGATAGAGATGATTGAGCTGAGTATAACGGTATACTTCTTTTTTTGGGCAAACAACAACAAGAATTATCAAAGGTTAAAGTTCAAAATAAGCAATTTTTGAAATCAAGATTTTTCAAAAACGAAGAATGGATTTTGAAAATTTTGATCTCCTTTAATAGCAAATTTGATTCCCTTTAATTTGCTATACGTACTTTATATATGTATATGTTGTATAGTTCTTACAAAAATTGAATTAATGTAAAATAATTATAAAAAAAAAGCTTACAAACCAAGGCGAATACATATAAGGTGGTATCGATTCAACAAATACAACAATTACTTGTATTTGGTTTTTGCTTTTAGCGGGCAATTGTCAAATTTCAGCTATTCTTCCCGGAACGGAAAAGGGCGACAGAAAATACAAACATACTATATACCTTTTCACTCATTCACTTAAGAAATACAGAATTTTAACAATCAAACGCTTTCAAGAATCATCCATCGGTTTTTAAGAAATCTTGATTTCAAAAATTGCTTATTTTGAACTTTAACCTTTGATAATTTTTGTTGTTGTTGTTTGCCCAAAAAAAGAAGTATACCGTTATACTCAGCTCAATCATCTCTATCGATTACAATATTTTTTTTTTGAGATTTGGAGCCGAACTGCATTTGTTCCCAAAAACCAATTTCAATGGGTAATTATGCGAGGAATTTGCGTAATATATATACTTATTTAAAATTTAAAATATATGTCGGTTTATATAAAGCGAGCCACAGACAGGCAACATATCACAGCAATCGGTTGCACCTTGTTTCGCTACACACTAGTGGATCGGTTGACGATTTTCATTTTACGTTGTTCGTCGGCAAGTAAACATGTGCGCAAAAAGGATAACAACCACAGTATATACCATGAACGAAAGACACAAGATCACGCGGGAAGGAAAGAAAGAAAAAAGTTATTTTCTAGCTGCCGAAATCTCGACGCCATCTTTGTTGTAAGAAGTAAACAATGAAGAGAACGGAGAAAACCGCGAAATTGTTGTACAAATGAAAATTCATTTTTATTATGCAAATTCTTCTATAAATCATGCCGTTGTGTTAAATTATTCTTTATCTTATGCGGACACACGTTGTCACAGGCGAAAATGAAGAAAATTGCAGTAAAAAGCCACCACCAAATTGTAAACAACGAAGAAATGTAAAGAAACGGCTAATGTCAAAATCGTTTAACTTTTTTCCTAAATGCGATTCTAACGGGCTACTCTTCGGCCCGCCTGATCTTTTCTTTTTGGTTCATGAGTATATACAGTAATAAACACTTGAGTTACTCGGGGGAGGGGTAAAATCTAATCAGGGTTGATAATGGAAAGCATGAGTTTTGATGATTCAGAGTTGTATACAAAATTACGAAGGGGGGTAGCACCCGTAATATGGCAGAGTTGCACAGGTAATTTTGTAAAGGAACACATTAATTTTAATAGATAATTGCTATATATTTTCTAATATTCAGGTATCCAGCTTGTAGCCAGAGGCATCGGCATGTAAGGCTCACTAAAATCTACTCATCATGTTGCAGCAGCTCCGGGTAATGGAAACCAACAGAGTCTCCAAGCAAATGCATGTCCTGATTTATGCTGTAGCAGCTCATAACAATTAATATTGTATGTCTGTATGATTCATATATGTGACGTTCTATGCTTTGATTTGGAGTCTTTATAACTATACAAACCTTTTTTTTTTGGAATCAAGATTTAAATATATTCGGAAATTTGGAATTTTACTTGATAAATTCACAACATAACACAAAACTCACTTTTTTCATAAAAATATAATATTACAATGGATATTTTTTTAATTTTAAACTTACATTTAAGAAAACTCCATTAAGTGCTGTAATTACGATTTTAGTTTTCCAGTTTATAGAAACACAAGCGTTAATTATGTACTTCACTATTGATATTATTCTTAATTAAGCATTGATATTGTACTTAATCTACATTCTGTTCATAAATAACAAAAATGATGTATTTTATCCTCGAAAGCAACTTTTTCTAATCAGTAAGCGTTGCCGTGCACGCAAAACAAAAATGCTGCACACAACCCAAAAAGTACTCATGAAATCACAAAATAAATTACAAAAATGTAAGAACCCCACTACTCACGCAACCGATTGCAAGAACCGAAGATAAACACGAAAACTCCGCTACACACGCGCAACCAAGGCGCATCCATACAAGGTGGTGGTGATTGGTTATAAGTGAAAGTCCCGTGTATTTTGTTATTGCTTTTTGGTACAGGAGGATGTCAAAACGAAAGGGAATAGG